AGATAGGTTAGATGAATATACCTACAGATGGAGTCAGTAAAAAAGTGAATGACTTTCTAATGAAGGTTTTTAGGAGGAGGATGTGTTTCTGTTGGTCATTCCAACATAATTACTGGGATGCTCAAACTAGATTTTAAACCTTATTCTTCTTGTAGGTTTGGATAAAAGAATAATACTCAATACATGATTTACTGAGTGTGAACCATACTAATATGTGCATTGAGTAGTTTATGAAGTATTATTGCATGGCTCTTTCATCTTTAAAAAAAAAAATATATATATATATATACACACACGTATTTTAAAAGATGACCAGTAAGGGGGATCTTAACCCTTGACTTGGTGTTGTCAGCACCACGCTCACCCAGTGAGCTAACTGGCCATCCCTATATAGGGATCCGAACCTGTGGCCTTGGTGTTATCAGCACCGCACTCTTCCGAGTGAGCCACAGGCTGGCCCCTTAAAAATATTTTTGTCTGAAAAATATACTCAGTGTCAACATTCAAACAAAAGTGTAGAAAATGAAAGTCTCCTTTATTTCTCTGCCCACAGGGTGTTGTGCCACATATCTGTCCAAACAGACATGCATTTCCATGTTTTTGAAACCACAAAAATGTATATTTTACACATTTATCCTTTTGGAGTATCAAAGTAGGAGGACACAGGTGTTATGTGTGTTCTCGATCTCAATGCTCTAAGGACGTTATGTTTACTTTATATACCACTGTACAGTTTGACTTTTACATCTCTTAAAATGAGCATGCATGACTTTTTGAATGAAAAATAAAGTAGAAAAAAGAATAGAAGAAAATAATCCAACTCTAACTAAGTTGTTTTTTTCAAGGCTGGGGCCAAGCTATCTCCTGATCCCCTTTCTCTGTTTAAAATACATTTCCTTATTCTCTAAATTATTTGCAACAGCAAACAGATAAAAATAAACCTGTATTTACCAACATAATTCAGTTTTTAGTAGACCAACACATTGTCTTGTACAATAATTCCTGAGAATCCCAGGCACCAAAAAGATAAATGTACTATTCTGATTTTTATTTCATTTTGTGTAAGCTCAGTCATTCCTCTGCATTTTTACTAATTTTGTAGTTTTCTCTTTTTAATTAGTGTAAATCAGCACACAGTTAAAGTCTTCAGCTCTCTCTTTAAAAGAAGTAAAAAGCACAGTCTAGAACTTGCTTTCATACATTGAGATGATTCTATAATAGTCAAAACAACAAAATAAGTCAGTCGTTATCCTTACATTTTTTTTTTTTAAAGATGACCTTTAAGGTGATCTTAACCCCTGACTTGGTGTCAGCACCAGGCTCTACCAAGTGAGCTAACCGGCCATCCCTATATAGGGATCCGAACCCGTGGCCTTGGTGTTATCAGCACCGCACTCTCCCGAGTGAGCCACGGGCCAGCCCGTAATCCTTACATTTTGATCTCATTATGTTACTCTGTTTTTTCTGGTAGTTCTCTCCTTCTTCTGAATTACTGAATTATTTATTAGATTTATCACTTGTGGTCTGTCTGCCTTCATCAGAATTGGACTCACAAGACAGATAATTTTTTCTGCCTTGTTTATTGATGTATCCTGAGCTGCTAAAGCAATGATTAGCAAATGGTGGCTGCACAATACCTGTTTGAGTGAATGAATGTAAACTACTCGCAACTCTAAAAAGGTGATTTTGGTGAACAAAGACAAGGTGCCAGGTGACTTTCAAGTGAGACCATGGTTTACGTAAGAAAAGCAGCTCAGGCATAGATTACGGACAGACGGTAAGAATGCTGAAGAAATATCACTTGATGAGTCATTTACTCGTTCGTGCAAAATGAATTTTTATTAAGTACCTATAATATGTTAGTAGG